TCCTAGGGACAAGGATTACATACTCCTGGATACAATGCTCCATCACAAGGACCAGAACTTCATACTCCTTCCGTACAATCCTCTGTAAGTCCTTTTACATAGTACTGTGGTAATTATGTTTTTTTACGCACCTAGCTCTGCGTGTTTACATTCATTTGTTCCTGTTTACGCATCGACCACTTGATCATTGTGATTTTTCCTGCTTGGTCCAAGGTATTTTACCTTGGTTCCTAGAGAACAATAAAGCGTGACCACTGATATCACTCCAGTTAGTAGAGAAATGTAGAAATATTAATACGCCATATCAAGTACCCTTGTAGAATGTAGAGAACAGCCGAAACAACGTGTCGTATGTGGGTATTATGTCTAAACAAATATAACATAGACACTGCATACATTTTACAAGCACCCCACAAAACAAAATTATATTTACGCATTGTCAGAAATCAGCAAGCAAGCAAACAAAGAAATATTAAGAACACGTGACGATTTTTACGTGGAAAACCCTTGCGGGAAAAAACCACGGGCACATGATGGTATCTTTTACTATATCAGGAGAGTGGCTACAAATACATAGACATACAATGAGTCATCAACTCTTCCTTACTTGCTGTAACGTAAGTGTGCTGAAAGGCACGGAACATGAACTAGATGAGGGTCGCTTGATGAGCATTTGGTATGCCTCCTGCATGCTTGGCCTTGCTTGTGGAGAAGATTCCAAGCAAGAAAAGGCCAGCTTGATGAGAGGAGATAACCTATTCTCTTCTGTTGTTGGTGTTGTCAGTCGTTGGTCCAGAATATCTTTCACCATTATGACTTGTTCTCCGTTTGACATAGTACCATCTAATAGATCCCTTGGATGCTTCCCCATCACTAGCTCTAGCACAACCACTCCAAAGCTATAGACATCGCATTTCTCTGTCACAACAGATGTGTACGACAATTCTGCACAAAATAAAATCATTAGACTTCCGTCAGATGAGTCCTTCTGACGTGAGAAGAAAGGTTATAGTAGTACTAGTACATACCAGGAGCTATGTAGCCATACGTTCCTGCAAGTGCACTCCAGTTTGATGAATCGGGCTTAAGAATCCTTGCTGTGCCGAAATCCGAGACAAAAGCCTTGAAGGATGTATCAAGTAAGATGTTGTTGCTTGTGATATCTCGATGGATTATAGATGGACTGCATTCGTGGTGCAAATAAGATATTGCTTGAGCCACATCAGTTGCAAGAGAAATTCTCTTCTTCCAATCTAATTCCTTTGCTAGCTCCTGATTTTCTAATATTCCGTGGAGGCTTCCCTGCTGAATGTAGTCATAGACGAGAAATTTATATGTTGGATGGGAGCAGAATCCATACATTTTGACGATGCTTCGTTGTCGGATCTGTGTTAAGATTTCCATTTCACTACGAAATCTTCTTTCATCATCGAACTCTTCTTCCGTCTGATGAAGCTTCTTCACAGCAACCAGCTGCCCGTCTTGGAGTTGTGCCTTGTAGACTTTGCCGTATCCTCCTGTTCCAGTGATGTACTTATCATCGAAGTCTTCTGTTGCCCTTACAATATCGTCAAATGCTAATCTTCCATCAAAATTCCAAACAGAGAATAGGTCCCTTGCTTCAGAAGTGACACTTTCCTGTGGTTTTCTCTTCTTACGAGTAAGTATTATTATGACAACAATTGCAGCAACAATGCCAAAACCCATCACAAGAACAATTGGCAAAAGAAAACCAATTATCTTTCGTTTATGGTGACCAGCTACTGGAGTTGAGTAACAAGTTGGCAGGCCAGATAGGTTACCACACAAACCTTTATTGTGAAGAAACCAACTTGCTGAAGCATTTTGGAGTAGCCGTGTTGTTGGGATTGGTCCTTCCAAGTTGTTGTAGGACACATCGAGTGTTGAAAGGCTCACCATGCTTGCAAAAGAGGACGGAATGATGCCGCTGAACTGATTATGGGATAAATTCCAAAATTCTAGCATCCCCAACTTCCCAAGTTGCTGCGGCAATGCGCCACTGAGGTTATTGTTGCTTACATCTAACATGATCTGCAGACTTGCTAAATTTCCAATCACACCAGGCAAACTCCCATTGAAGCTGTTGCTGTTGATCTTCAAGGAAAGTAGTTTCATGCAGCCTCCTAGGTCCTCAGGTACTGACCCGCTCAGTCTGTTTCCAGATATATCAAGGTATGCTAGATTGCCTAGCTTTTCTATGTGTGTAGGTATGGATCCAGATAATTGGTTAGATGCTAAGTTCAGTCTATATAAATTTGCTAAACTACAGATTTCTTGTGGAATCCCACCGCTGAGGCGATTAGAATTGAGACTTAGTTCTTCTAGGTTCAACAATTTAGAAAGGATTGGAGGTATGGAACCCGTGATCATATTTTGTGCTAGACGTAGTATCGTTAGTTTGGTACATGCATCTAGATTTGGTGGGATCTGCCCATAGAATCTATTCGATGCAAAGCTCATCCTTTTGAGTTGTGGATACACACCAAAGTGCTGAGATATATCTCCTGTTAGTTGGTTCCTCTGAAGGCTAATTTCAACCAAACTGGTACATGTCTTTAAACTCCTTGGAATGGGGCCATTGAACATATTAGAAAAGAGATATAGATATTGAAGCCTACCCCCTGAACATATATTTGCAGGTAAAGGTCCTGAAAGTGAGTTGTTAGCCAGCCCAAGTGCAACAAGGTTTATGAGGTCTCCGAATTCTTGAGGAAGAGAACCTGATAATTTGTTATGGTTGATGTACAGTTCTTGGATGTTTTGCAGCTTCCCAAAAGTTTTAGGTATTGATCCCGAAATTTGGTTCTGGTACACGTTTAAATATTTGAGGTTTAGCAGATTGCCAATCCCTTTAGGGATAGAGCCGGTTATCTGATTTTGATCGAGGGATAGTACTACTAGCTTGGTATTATTTCCTATGCTATCAGGAATAGTGCCAGATATTTGGTTGTTGGACAACCCAAAATTTTGGAGATTCAGCAAATAGCCCAATTCAAAAGGTATTGGGCCTGTGATTTGATTTGTATAGAGAGAAAGTTCATTGAGCATAGTGAGGTTGCCTATTTCTGGGGGTATTGAACCTGTGATTTGATTTTCAAAGAGAAAAAGTGTGTTCATCTTAGTGAGATTGGTTATGGAGATTGGAATTGGACCTGAAAAATCATTTGACTGAAGCTGAAGACTTTGCAAACGGACCAGTCTGCCTAGCTCTTGGGGTATAGGCCCTGAAAGTTGATTACCATATAGGTACAAATCATTTAGTTGGGTCAGATTTCCAAGGGTTTTTGGTATCATGCCGGTTAAGGGGTTGTTGCTTAGCTGTAGGCCTTGTAGGTTGACAAGGTTTCCAATCTCCTTAGGAATGGGACCAGATACCATGTTCTGGTGAATGACAAGATAATTTAACATTGTTAGGTTACCAAGAGACGCAGGGATATGTCCTGTGAGTCTGTTAGATGAGAGACCAAGCTGCATGAGACTCTGCAAGCCACCAAACTCAAACGGAATTTTCCCTTTGAGATGGTTGAAGCTAAGGTCAAGATAAGATAGTGATGATAGAGAGCTGATACTAGCGGGTAGTACACCGTGGAGACTGTTGTTCTGAAGGTCAATATATGCGAGGAATGGAAGAGCCGAGAAGTTGAGCTCACCAAGCTGGCCACGGATGCCAGCACCCGGCAGGGATATGTTGGTTACCACCCAGGGCATGCCGCGGCCATGGCGGATAGCCGTGCACATGATGCCCGACCAGTTGCAGGGCCTGGTGTTTTCTTGCCAAGAGCTCATCTGCAGTGGTGGGCTCGCAAGTGTAGCTTTCCAGTGGAGGAGGGCCATGCGTTGAGACCTCAGAGAGATCCCTCCATGGTGCACCGCATGTGCTTCTTCCAAGAGAAGAAGGCACGCCACCAGCAGTAGGCAGAGGTACAACAATGGTGTTGAGCATGATGGCATTTTTCTGCGTAGTGTTTGCATGCTTTGTTTGCTCGGGGGATATGATTCTGTGCATACTGTTGATGATTATTTAACTAGTGTGTCTTCCGTTGTTGTGAGGTCATCAATCAACACACAACAGTTGAGTGGAAGTTGTTGCTGGATGACTATTCTTCAGCGTGTTGCCATCCCTGCCCCTGTTTCCTTCCCTTTGGCAGCTGCTGCTGGGCAGACAGTTTTTCCTTCTTCAGTGTCGCCATCTATTCCTCTTTTTTTCTTTCCTTGTGCCTGTGGAAAAATGACAAGGTAATTATTACTAGAAAGCAATTGAAGGCAGGGATAGAAGGGTACCCACGGAGTACGCCTACTCATATCTTTCCCAGTTCTCCTCCGTCCAGAACTTATGCACTGAATGGACTTTGAGTTAACACTGCAGTAGAGTTTGTTCTATCTCCTGTGGTTGTTTTGATAGTATATTTGATCATGTAAACTGTAACTGCTTCAGTTAAGCTATTCTCCACGGTACCAATGTTAAATTTTCCCTTTTCACTTTTCAGTTGGTACATAGAACAAACTGTTTAGCTCACGGAATCGTGGCTGGTGGAGCAACACAACGACAAATTGTGGGAAAATTCTGTGCTGGTGGTAAAAATAGAGGTTTGGGTGTTGAATTGTGGTTAGTATAAATGCCAAGTCTTGTTGGAAGTCCTGTGTACGAGGAAAATGACAGAGTGGCTCTGTACAACCATGCAAGTATATATTGTTCGAAGTCCTGTGGAATTCATAACCTATACAACCAGGCAGCATCTTGACCACACAAGCTGAAGCAAAAATACAAGCTCAAATGGGTCACTGCGCTTTCGGTAGGTCTGCCGGCCCATGTACGTTGTTGATTGCCGTGTAACATCCGACATGCCAATATTCCCTGGTATGCCCCTTTTTAATTTATGAGTAATCAAAAGGGTGCAAATCCACTGTTCAACCTCCGATATTCCATCGAACATCTGAGAAGGCATTGAGGAAGGCAGAAGAAGACTTGTTTTGGAATAATGTGAGCCACTCTCTGTCTCTGTATGGTGGTTGTACATCCTATTATTATATAGCATGTCAATCACACCGTCTGCGTTGAATCTCGATGGAATGTTTAGGTTGGAAAGCAAGCACAAGATGAATCTGTATTAGAAAGTGATAATGAGAGCTGTTCTCTGAACTCACACGATTGTTCAGAGTATTATGTTAGGTGCCTGCCTACCTCTCTCTGCAATTTCTAATATACCATGCTCTGTAGTAGTCGGGTTTTTTCTTATCCTGTCACATGATCTAATTGAGAGAGGCTAGATTGTTGAGATCGTTATGAACATATTTCTGAACTCTTAAGTCGTGTATTTCAGGCTTAGTGTCATGAAAGATACCTTTTTTGTTGGTGCGAAGAACTGAGCTCATCCTAGCTTGATCTTACTAGTAAAACAAACTAGTGGAAAATTCCGTGCTGGAATTCTATTGATGGTTTCTATGTTCGATTGAGGTTAAGACAAATAGTGGACCGCATGCAAGTCTTGTTGGAAGTCATGTGTTTGGCTGCAGCTTGTGGAATTCAAAGCTGAAGAAAAGTTGCAAGCTCACGTAGGTTGAATCGGTAAAAGTCTACTACTAGCGCTTCATGTACGTCTGCTGGATTGCCGTGTAATATCAAGCACGGCAATATTTGCCACGATGGCTCTTTGCACGTTGCTACGGTAAAACTAAGGATGCCAAGACATTTTCCTTCTTCTCGCTTCGTCTCTTTCAACCTGCTCCTCGGCTCAGCCATCATTTCATTCCAGAGTGTCTTCACACTGTTGGTTTTCGAATGATAGTGAGTTCTAAAAGGAGGTGTTCTCTGTACACCCTATAGTTAGCATGTGTGTGATTGCAACTAGCCTAGTTGAGTTCTGAGGTGAATTGGTATCTACTTTTCTGATAAAAAGGTTATTGGGGTATTTGCTAGTTCTCGTACCATCTATACTCACCCTTTCTGTCAATAAGTTTGCATTAGGCATGTAGAAATAAGAAGGCTGTATGATATTTGTTCCGTGTCAGTCCTGCCAACCAATGGTTGAAACTAAGTAAGCCACATAAGTACTACTCCCTCCGTTCCAAAATGCTTGCCGTGATTTTAGTTTAAATTATTTGTTGTTCCGTGTGAGTCATTCTCTTTTTTTATACTTGAAGGTTTCCCTGTATAAAGGGCACTGATTACCCTGTATCATTTAATCATTCCTCTTGTGGCAGCAGGCTATTATTCTAGTGCTCTAATCTTTAAACTCCACATGCTTTCCCTACAGGTATGAAGGTCAACGTGACCTCCTGTCCAACCAAACTTATAATCTTGACCAACTTGCTTTCGCATCAGACAGAATTAAAGATGCTCAACACACTGTGTGTTGCCTTAGTTTCCTATCAAGTTCATGATAGATTCTTATTCTGGCTCCCAAACTTATGTTGAATTGTCTTTCATTTAACAGATGACTGCAATGAAGGCTGCCAATAAAGAGCTGAAAGGGATGATGAAGACTGTCAGGATTGAAGATATAGATGTATGCAACATCCTGTTGTGTACCAGATTCATTATTTGCTTGCTTAATTTATCCTGTCTATTTTTGTTTTAATTACATCTCAATCCATACTTTTTATAATAATCATCCGCAGAGCATGCAAGACGAGATGATGGATCTTATGGATGTGAGCAATGAAATACAAGAAACTCTTGGTAGAAGCTACAATGTCCCAGATGACATCGATGAGGAGGAACTTATGGGCGGTATGGCTCTTATTTGGTAGTTGGTTATTCTCAGATAATTCAAAACCTTACTTGGCCAACTAGTTTTCCTTGCAGTGGTTACCAGCTGGGAACCGCTCTTCAGTAAAAGTTTCGTAGTTGAATTTGATTCAGTACACTCTCCATTTAATATTGGTCTTAGGTTTCATCTGAAACACTTTTTTGGCCCTTTTGTTGCAAGACTGGTTTTGCGTCATGCATGTGTTAATTTACAGAAAAGACGGTTCTCTGTTTGCTGTTCTCATTTTGTACGTTGGAAAATACAGAGCTTGATGCTTTGGAAGCCGATATGGACTTTGAGTCGAATTCAGTCCCATCGTATCTCCAACCAGACAAGGAGACTGATCTTGATTCTGAGCTTAACCTACCTGCTGCACCAAGTGGTCATGCAGCAGTCCTAGCGAACCGGCAGCAGGTATGTCAATTGCAAGACTGACTAGTTCAGTTTCTGTTCACATTGATTCTGATGCTGATATCCCTAGGAAGAAATCGATGGTTCATGTCATTTCCCATGCAATCACAGTGTTTCCTTTTATCTTGTGACATGATCTAATTTGACAGGCTAGATGCTTGAGATCATTATGAATGTAGTGCTGAACTCATAACTCTTGTATTTTGGGCTCAACTTCATGATGCATGCATATGTTGTTGGTATGAACAATTTGAGCTCATAATAGCTTGATCTTAATAGTAAAAGAAACACACAGAGGGAGAACATGCAAACTGTTTTCATGCCAAACATGTGGTATATGATGGATTTCATGATGAACTTTGAAGTCTCCATTGAATATCTCAGACGGCACATACTTTAATTTGCTTGATTACCCCTGATTGCAATGTGAACACTTGTCAACCAGTAGACTAATTTGCTCTGCTTATTTTTGTCTGTTGGTGCAGGAGGATGAACTGGGACTGCCTACCGTGCCGCACGCATCAATTCGTACCTGAAAGTAACAAAAAAGCTATGGTGTAGGTTTTGATCTCGTTGTAAATGGTCGGCACTTTGTTTATGCATGGACAGATTCATTGTATCTTGCCTCATATACCACTGCAATTCGTTGAACGATGGAATGTCTCTTTCCCTTTGTGTTGGAACAATAGTGTGTGATAAAGGGAGTGTTCTCTATATGGTTGTACATCCTGTTGTTAGTATGTCTCTGCTGGGTTGAATTGGTATCTGCTTTTCTGATAATGAAATTATGGGACGTTGCTAGCTCTCGTGTTGTCTGTCACGGCTTTTCCTATCATCTGATCTCATCCTTGGTTAATGTTTGTATTAGGCATCAAGAAAAAGAAGGTTGTATCTTTGTTCCATGAAAATCTCGTTACAAGTGCTTGAAATTAAGTGAAGTAGTAAATTATCTATTGCTCGATCCTAAGGACAAGGACTACACATGCTCCATCCTAAGGACAAGGATACATATGTGTGCCCTACAATCCTCCGTAAGCTTTTTTACCTAGTACTGTTGTACTTTTCTTGTTTTATGCACCTATATCCGTTTGTTCACATTCATTTGTTCCGTTTACGCATCGAACACTTGATCATTGTGATCATTCCTGCTTGGCACAAGGTATTTTACTTTGATACCCAGAGAACAATAAAGCAGGATGACATGATAACGTGTCAGTTTTGGATTCCATTTTTTCACCTTCAGGTTCATGGGAGCAATAATAAGGAAAAGGACTACATACTCCTGCCCTACAATCCTCTGTAAGTCCTTTTACTTAGTATATTGTGGTACTTCTCTTTTTTTATGCACCTATATATCTCCAATGTGCTTACATTCATTTCGTTCCGTTTATGCATTGTGATTATTCCTGCTTGGTCCAAGATATTTGATCTTGATTCCCATATGGAATAAATAAAGCAGGACAACATGGTACTGCGCCAGTTTTGGATTTCATTTTTTTTCAATCTTTATTAGGTTATATGCGAGCAATAGTAGATAAAAGAGACAAATATTAGGACACATTTAAGTACCCTACAGACAACAGCCGAAAGAAAGTGTCACATGTGGATACTACAGTCTTTAACAAATATAAGCAACCCGCAAACCAAATTATATTTATGAAATCAGCAAGCAAACAGAAATATCAAGAACACGGGACTGGACACACATTTTTACGTGGAAAACCCTTGCAGGAAAAACCACGGGCACACAACGGTGATCTTTTGCTGTATCAGGAGAATCTACAAATACATAGACTTACAATGAGTCGTCAACTCATCCTGTGTGGCATGGCATGGCATACAAGAGGTATATATATAGGTGGTGTATGAGTGACTTGAATAAAAAATCGGAAATCTGAATCGGCCTCTGCTTTGACAGACCCTGGTTTCTCACTAGGATTCAGACCTTATATCAGCATGCATCCCTTGCTGTAATATAAGCGCGCTGAAAGGCACAGAACAAGAACTAGAAGATGGTCGCTGGATGAGTGTTTGGTATACCTCCTGCATGGTTGGCCTTGCTTGGGGAGAAGATTCCAAACAAGATAAGGCCAACTTGATGAGCAGAGCTAAGTTATTCTCTTCTGTTGTTATTGGTGTTGTCGGCCGTTGGTCCAGAATATCTTTCACCATCATTGATTGTTCGCCGTTAGAAAGACTACCATCTAATAGATTCCTTGGATGCTTGCCCATCACTAGCTCTAACACAACCACCCCAAAGCTATAGACATCACATTTCTCTGTCGCAACAGATGTGTACGACAGTTCTGCACAAAAGCGTCGAAAATATTAGAATTAGGAACAAATGGATAGAGACGAATGCTTCTGATGTGAAAAACAAGGTTAAAATAGTACATACCAGGAGCTATGTAGCCAAAGGTTCCTGCTAGTGCACTCCAGTTTGACGAATCGGGCTTAAGAATCCTTGCCGTGCCGAAATCCGAGACAAAAGCCTTGAAGGATGTATCAAGTAAGATGTTGTTGCTTGTGATATCTCGATGGATTATAGGTGGACTGCATTCATCGTGCAAATAAGATATTGCTTGAGCCACATCAGTTGCCAGGGCAATTCTCTTCTTCCAATCTAATTCCTTTGATAGCTCCTCATTTTCCAATATTCCATGGAGGCTTCCCTGCTGAATGTAGTCGTAGACGAGAAATTTATATGCTGGATGGGAGCAGAATCCATACATTTTGACAATGCTTCGTTGTCGGATCTGTGTTAAGATTTCCATTTCACTACGAAATCTTCTTTCATCATCCAACTCTTCTTCGGTCTGATGAAGCTTCTTCACAGCAACCAGCTGCCCGTCTTGGAGTTGTGCCTTGTAGACTTTGCCGTATCCTCCGGTTCCAATGTTGTACTTATCATCAAAGTCTTCTGTTGCCCTTACAATATCGTCAAATACCAGTCTTCCGTCAAAATTCCAAACAGAGAATAGGTCCCTTGCTTCAGAGGTAACACTTTCTTGTGGATTTCTCTTCTTACGAGTAAGTATTATTATGGCAACAATTGCAGCAACAATGCCGAAACCCATCACAAGAGCAATGGACAAAAGCAAACCAAGTATCTTCCCTTTTTGGTGAGCAGCTACTTGGGTTGAATAACAAGGTGGCAAGCCAGAGAGGTTACCACAGAGACCTTTATTGGGAAGAAACCAACTTGCTGAAGCATTTTGGAGTAGCCGTGCTGTTGGGACTGGTCCTTCCAAGTCATTGTAGGACACATCAAGTGTTGAAAGGCTCAGCATGTTTGCAATGGAGGATGGAATGCTTCCACTGAACTGATTATGTGATAAATTGAGAGATTCCAGCATCTCCAACTTCCCAAGTTGCTGCGGCAAAACACCACTGAGGTTATTGTTGCTCACATCTAACATGATTTGCAGGCCTGCTAAATTTCCAACCGCACCAGGCAAACTCCCGTTGAATTGGTTGTTGCCGATCTTCAAGGACTGTAGTTTCTTGCATGCCCCTAGTTCCTCAGGTATTGATCCACTTAGTCTGTTCCCAGATATATCAAGGTATCCTATATTGCTTAGCTTTTCTATCTGTGTAGGTATGGATCCAAATAACTGGTTCGATGATAAGTTGAGGCTATATAGATTTGCTAAAGTACAGATTTCTGGAGGAATCTCGCCGCTGAGATGATTAGAATTGAGTGTTAGTGCTACTAGGTTGGACAATTTAGAAAGGATTGGAGGTATGGAACCTGTGATCATATTATTTCCTAGATGTAGTATCGTTAGTTGGGTACATGCACATAGACTTGATGAGATCTGCCCAGAGAGTCTATTCGTTGACAAGCCCATCCATATGAGTTGTGGATACACACCAAAATGATGAGATATATCTCCTGTTAGTTTGTTCGACTGAAGGTCAATTTTAACCAAACTTGTACATGTCTTTAAACTCCTTGGAATTGGGCCATTGAACATATTAGAAGCGATAGCGAGAGATTTTAGTCCTCCACTTGAACATATATTTGCAGGTAAATGTCCTGAAAGTGAGTTGTTTGCCACCTCAAGGTGAACAAGGCTTACGAGATTTCCAAATTCTTGAGGAAGAGAACCTGATAATTTGTTGCTAAACATTAACATGTTTTGGATGCTTTGCAACTTGCCAAAAGTTTTTGGTATTGATCCCGAAATTTGGTTTTGAAACAAGGCTAAATATTTGAGGTTTATCAGGTTGCCAATTTCCTGGGGAATGGAACCGGTTATCTTATTTGTAAAGAGGTGTAGTACTACTAGCTTGGTAATATTTCCTAAGCTACCAGGAATAGAGCCATATATTAGGTTATTGGAGAAGTCTAAATCTTGGAGATTCTGCAAGAAGCCTAATTCTGAAGGTATTGGACCTATGATTTGATTTTCATAGAGATAAAGTTCATTGAGCATAGTGAGGTTGCCTAGTTCTGGGGGTATTGAACCCGTTATTTGATTTGTGCAGAGAGCAAGTTGGCTTAGCATGGCGAGGTTGCCTAGTTCTGGTGGTATTAGACCTGTGATTTGATTTTCATAGAGAAAAAGTTGGTTCATCTTAGTGAGATTGCTTATGGAGATTGGAATTGGACCTGAAAAATCATTTGAACTAAGATCAAGACTTTGTAGATGGACTAGGGTGCCTAGTTCTTGGGGTATAGGCCCTGAAAGTTGATTACTATACAGGTCCAAAACATTCAGTTGGGTCATATTTCCAATGATTTTTGGTATCATGCCGCTTATGGTGCTATTGCTTAGCTGTAGAATTTGTAGGTTGAGAAGTCTTCCAATCTCCTCAGGAATGCTACCTGATACCATGGTTTGGTGAATGACAACTTCAATTAACATTGTTAGGTTACCCAGAGACACAGGGATATGTCCTGTGAGTCTGTTAAATGAGAGACCAAGATAGCTGAGACTTTGCAGGTTACCAATCTCATAGGGAATTTTTCCTGTGAGCTGATTGTAGGTAAGGTCAAGTATCGAAAGTGCTGACAGGGAGCAGATACTAGCGGGCAGTGCACCATGGATACTGTTGTTTTGAAGATCAATAGATGCGAGGAATGGAAGAGCTGAGAAGTTGAGCTCACCAAGCTGGCCACGGATGCCAGCATCCGGCAGGGAGATGTTAGTCACCATCCAGGGCATGCGGCTGCCATGGCGAACAAGCGTGCACATGATGCCCGTCCAGTTGCATGGGCCGGTGTTTTCCTGCCAAGAGCTCATCTGCAGCGGTGGGCTTGCGATTGTAGCTTTCCAGTGAAGGAGGGCCATATGTTGAGACCTCAGCGAGATCCCTCCATGGTGTGACGCATGTGCTTCTTCCAAGAGAAGAAGGCACGGCACCAGCAGTAGGTAGAGGTACAACAATGGTGCTGAGGAAGATGTCATTTTTCTGTGTAGTGTTCGCATGTTGTGTGTTGGTTGGGGGATGTGATTTTGTGCATGCTGCAACTATCGATATTTAACTAGCAGGTTGTCCATTGTTAGAGGTTCTCAGTCAGCCAACACTCAACAGTTGATTGGAAACTTCCGCTGGATGACTATTCTTTTCCCCTGCAAAAAAGAGGATGACTATTCTTGGGTGTCGCCATCTCTTCCTTTATTTCTTTCCTATCATTTCCTATCATGCCGGTGGAAAAAATGACACAGTAATTACTCCTAGAAAGCAATTGAAGGCAGGGACAGTACGCCTACTGATCATATCTTTCCCAGTTATCATTGGGTTGAGTATTTATTTGATGGTATCTCCTGTGATTGGTTTCTTAGTATTTCTTGTTCATTTGGTCATGTAACTTATAATTGCTTCAGTTATGGAAATTCCATATAGTAATTGAAGCAGCTTATTTTAAGCTATCGTCAACCGTACTAATGTTCTCCTTGTCCTTTTTCAGATGCTACATATGAGATCAATTGTGGGAAATATTTCGCTTTGGGATCTACATCGATGGTAAAAAATAAAGGTTTCTATGTTCAGATTTGGCTGATACAACTACTGGACCGGAAGTCTTGTTGGAAGTCATGTCTCTGAGGAAAAATGAGGGAGCTGTTCAAATACGGTAGTATATCATGCATGTTCTTCGCATGTCCGTGGTTGCACTAGCTTTGAGGTGAATTTTTATCTACTTTTGCGATAAAGTAATTATTATGGGGTGTTGCTAGCTCTCCTGTTTTCTGTCACCTGGTTCTTTTTCGTACCATATGATCTCATGCCATCCCCTGTTAAGTTTGTACAGTATTAGGCATGGCGTGAAGAAAATTAAGGTTGGTATATGCCAATAAATGCTTTAATAAAATTAAGTAAGCCACCAGGAGTACTAAGAAGAGTTCTCGCAAAAGAAAAAAGGTACTAAGAAGAGTTGATGGCCCTCAGTCAGTCAACACACGACAATTGAGTCTGTGGCCATCTCTGCCCCTTTTTCTTTCCCATCTCTTCTTCAGTGTCGCCATCTCTTCCTTTTTTTTCTTTGCTCACGACTGTGGAAAAATGACACAGCAATTATTCCTAGAAAGCAATTGAAGACAGGGATCTTGGGTGCCCAAGGCATACACCTAGTTGTCATATCTTTCCCAGTTATCCTCCGTCTACAACTTATGCACTGAGTTAAACATTGATAATTTTTTTATTTGATGGTATATCCTGTGATTGGTTTGATAGTATTTCTTGTTAATTTCATCATGCAACATGTAACTGCAATTCCAAAAATAAATGGAAGCAGCTTGTCTCAAGTCATTTTCTATAGTACTAATGTTTCCCTTATTCGCTTTTTAACTGCTACAAAAGATTAATAACTCATTGTTGGTGCCGCAATGCAGCGATTACATGTGGGGAAAAATTCCCAAGTCTTGTTGGGAAAATAAAGGTTTCCGTGTTGAATTTTGGTCAATACAAATCCTGGACCCCAGGTCTTGCCGGAAAGTCATGTGTCTGAGGAGAAATGAGGCAGTGGCTGCAGCTTGTGGAATTCAAAGCCTGCACAACCAAGCAGCATCATGACGACAATGACTGAAGAAAAGTTCCAGGCTCAAGTGAGTTGGCTCAGTAAATTTCTACTACTAGTTCTGTACGTGTTGATTAGTTGCAGTGTAACATCCAACACGCCAGTATTCCCAGGTATGCCCTTTCTACTTGACGAGTAGTAATCAGAAGTGTGCAAATTATTACTACTGCTTCAGTACTTTGGTGTAGAGTACAACATATCAGAAACGGCAGTAAACACTTACGCATTATCTGTTCATTTTGATCATGTAACTTGTAACTGCTTCAGTTATGTCTTAAGCTATTCTCTGAAGTGTGGAGTAATCATATTGTAAGATTCCAGCCTTGTCTCCCCTCCCGCGACTCTCCCGCGAGCGCCGGGGGGAAACCAGCTCCGGCCCGCGGCCGTCCTCCTCGTGCCTCCCTCCCCTCGCCGCCGCCCCGACGTGCTGGTGGGCTAAGCCCTGCCGGCGCGGGCGGTGGCGGGGTGTTCCTCCTTTCCCCGCACGAGTCGACGGTCGCGGGATCCAAGATCTGGCAGCGGCGCGGTGCTTTCCTCGGGGCACGGCGGCACGGCAGCAGCAGCAGGCGGCGGAGACGCGGGCTGTGGGTGGAGGCGTGAAGGGGCTGAGGCGTCGTGGGGCGCGGTGGGCTCCGGCGGCGCTGACCCTGTCGGCGTGCGGCCAGATCTGGGCCCAGATCCGGGAGCGGCGTGAGCTGCGGGCGTCTGCCTCTGCCGTGGCCATGGCTGGTAGGGCGGAGGCGCAGCGGCGGTGGCAGGTGGGCGGGCTGCTCGGTTTCCAGGCGTCCCGCCGGCTGGACGACGACGGCGGCGCGGTCGGACTCCCCGGTGAGCTTCCTCGGGGGTGGGCGGCGGTCCTGGTAGGCACTCCTTGCCGGTGGCTGGGGCTGTGTTGGTGGCCTTGCGCGGATCTGCGCTGGTCGCCGAGGCGGGGCGGCACAGGGATGTGTCCGGGGAGGATTGGGATGGAGGGATGGGCGCCGACGACGTGCTCGGGCCCCCGTCACCGGCACAGGGGTGTGCCGGTCCGGATGCGTCCGCTCCCCCACCTCACCCTTTCCCGGCCGCGTGCGGGCGGCTGTAGCGCCGGCGATCTTCAAGGCGGGATACATTCTGCGGCTCGTCGGTCTGGTGTGTCCACTTGGTCCAAAGTTGACCCTTTTGGATGATCTTGGGGGTGGTTGGATGTTGGGCGGCGGCCCTGGCGGCGGGAGGCGTGGCGTTCGTGGACGGAACCTACGTCTCTGGTGTAGGCGGGCAACCATGGCCTCGTGGGGGGGAGTCTTGGTTGCGACTGGTTGGCAGAGCGAGGGTATGTCGGATGGATGCGAGCACCGGAGTTCATCACTTGCCCAGTCCTGTACTGGCCGACGGCGGCGGCGGCCGTGGTGGTCGTATCGCTCATGAAGGCGCCGTGGCGGTGCTCCTGCCCCTCGCATGTGACTCCGGGTGAAAACTTGATCTACGGATCGGACGGTGGTGGCTATCCGTGGGCGTCCCCTTCTAGAAGGCAATGTCTTGGAGTCCCTGCTCTGTCTTGACCGTCTCCTCCGTCCTCGTTTCTTGTTGGAGGTCTCCGTCATCTCCAAGCGGTTATCCTTCGTCATATTTAGCCGCGCCCCCAGCAGGCCCCCAGGCCGCTTTTTCAGCGCCGGCGCCAAAAAAACGCCCAGTCGCGCCCCCAGGACGCTGAAAAGCGCCGGTTCGGCCCGTTTTTGGCCCCGGCGGTCGCAGGCCGAACCCGGCGCACTGGGGGCGATCGGGGCCTCCGGCGCAAGGGAAATGCGCGCCTGGCCCGCACCGTCAGGTGAAAAGTCAAGTTTTCCTTCCCCGACTCGCCTCCCACCCCCCCCACACTCCTCGGCCGCCACTAGCTGTATCCCGATGCCGGCCGCCGCCCTTCACCACTAGATAGCCAACACCCGCCGGAAAAATAGCAGAGGTTCGCCGAGGCAGCCCCTCCACCAGCAGCTGGGCATTTCCGGCCGCGGAGGGGCAGTTTAGCGGCGGGTACACGCCCATCGGGCGCAAGGTGTTCGGCGATTTGCCTGCCTCGGCAATGGACTCGGATGACGAGGAAGCGCTCGCCGCGCTGCTGGAGGAGGAAGCCGAGGCCGACGTCCAGGAAGAAAAGCATCTCTTGGTGCTCGCCGCCCTCGCCCAGCAGCTGGTGAGCTCTGAAAAGCCGCGGCAAGGTGGCTCGGCGCCTGGGCGGGTGAAAGCAAAGAACCGACATCGTCTCGAAGGCTACTGCATGCTCTACTCCGACTACTTCGCCGATGCTCCACTTCACGGTGACAAAACATTTCGGCGCCGTTATCGGATGAGCCGAAAGCTCTTCCTCAGGATTGTGAATTCCATCTGGGAGTTCGACAGCTACTTCAAGTGCAAGATGGATTGCACCGGCAAACTTGGATTCACCTCGATCCAGAAGTGCACGACAGCGATGAGCATGCTTGCATACGGAGCTCGTGATGATTCACTCGACGACTATGGGCGCATGGCCGAGTCCACCAGCATAGAGTGTTTCTATAAGTTCTGTCGGGCAGTGGTGGCAGTGTTTGGACCATAATACTTGAGAACACCCAATGCGGAAGACACTGCTCGGATCCTAGCACAGAATGCAGCAAGAGGATTTCCTGGGATGCTTGGAAGCATCGACTGCATGCATTGGAAATGGAAGAACTGTCCATTTTCTTGGCAGGGGATGTACAAAGGCGCCAAAGGCGGTTGCAGTGTGGTACTTGAGGCGGTGGCCACACAGGACCTCTGGATTTGGCACTCCTTCTTTGGTATGCCAGTAACTCACAATGACATCAACGTGCTGCAGTGCTCCCCTGTCTTTGCCAAGCTTGTTGAAGGTCATTCTCCTCCGGTGAACTTCGAGGTCAATGGGCGGCACTACAACAAGGGGTACTACCTAGCTGATGGCATCTATTCGAGATGGTCTACATTTGTGAAGACTATCTCAAACGCTGTGCCAGGAGGCAAGAAGTCCCACTTTGCCAAGATGCAGGAGGCTTGCCGGAAAGACGTCGAGCGGGCATTTGGTGTGCTTCAATCTCGATTTTCTGTTGTCCGGTACCTTGCTCAGACCTGGTCGAAAGATCAAATATGGAAGATCATGACTTGCTGTGTCATCTTGCACAACAAGATCATCGAGAGCGAGCAAGAAGACCCAGTGTTTGACACCGAACCATACTACAGGCAGGGTCCTCTAGCCGAAGTTGATCACCAGCTACCGGCAACCTGGACTGCCTACCTCAGTATGCGTCAGGAGATCTGAGACCCACAGGTGCATCATCAGCTGCAGCAGGATCTGGTGGAGCACCTATGGAGGCTCAAGGGCGACGCCGAGCGCGACGTGTGATGAAATATGAGTTTTTATTTGTTGAACTATATAATTTGTAT